CGGAGATACAACCTCACGTCTTTTCGCAAGCGCTACGTAAATTTTGTACGCGTTATCGAAAACGGTTATTCGAATCATCTTGAATTCCATAACTTTTTGTCAGCACTGCCTGGAGATGATCCGGTGCGATTTTGGGGTGAAAATCGGACAAACCGTCTAGGACGAGTTCGCAAAAGTAGGTTTTTTGGAAATTCAAAATGGCGGCCGTTTTTTTATGACGGAAAATGACGTCATAGGGTGCGATCGAATCGGCAATGAGCTCAGGAACAAGAGGAAAAAGAAATTTGTTGATAGGCCTTACGGTTCAAAAGTTATTAGCATAATAAAAGTGCAACTTTGGACAGTGGTGCGCTAGAGGGAATGAGTTAGAGACACCAAAATTGGTGTATTTAAAGTTGGGACTGTCCTCTATCAGAATGTCAAACCAAAACAACTTCCCGCCAAACCGGTCTATGGCTGCCATAGACGCCCAGTCGGAAGAAGAATAATAATAATAATAATAATAAGAACCGGCACAGATACAACTCGCACCTTCGGTGCTTGGCCCCTAATAAGAACCAGCAGGATACAATAGGTGCTCCGCACTTCGGTGCTTGGCCCCTAATAAATATAGCAAGCAAGCCATTACCGGGCAAGCGCAAGAAGCCAACATATGCCAAAATGGCAAGGAGTGGCAGACCAACTGCAGCAAGGAGCTATTAAGGGCATTTTGAGAGAACTTTGGGCAAATGGCAAAGAAAATCACATAAACATTAACTTATAAGATGATTTAATGGGTTATCACTTTCGAACAATAGGTGGCGCAGTTACAAAATAGATGTGATGTGGTCAGAGTGAGGTGACAATGACACATGCAAAGTTTGGTGTCAAAATGTGAAAGCATTGCAGAGATAAAGCCTAAATAGTCATTTTGGCAGCATGCCTCAAATTTGATGCTGTGGTATACGAAAACGGTTTTGTCTATCGTCACGCAATCCATAACTTTTATTTGGCACTGTCTGGAGATGATACGATTCAATTTTCGTGAAAATCGGACAAACGGTCTAGGAGGAGTTCGAAAAAGAAGGTTTTTCAAAGAAATAAAGATGGCGGACAGGAAGTTTAGCTGATTATGCAAAACCTGACATCTATGTCTTCGGCATAACCCAAGGAATCTATTAAGATCAGTTTCATTGCAATAGGCAAATTTGTTCAAAAGTTATTAGCGTTCTCAGAAATTAATTATAACTTTTGACCAACAGGTGGCGCTGTCTCAAAATCTTTTGAGTACCTTCAGTGCATGCTGCTTATGGCACACACTGAGTTTCGTAATGTTAGACCAAAGCATTTGTTTAGTATAGCATTGTATTTCACAAAGCTGTATTGAAGTCAATGGGAATTTCACGTTTTGTTCTATTATAGCGCCACCAAGAGGCTCAGTCCCACAATTTTTTTTATGTGTCCTCAGAGTGACCCCATACATATGTGTGTCAATTTTGGTGAAAATATCTCAATTCGCTTCCGAGTTATAAACATTTATATGAAAAAACACGTAAAAAATGACTGACACATGACTTTGTTTGAATTTTACTACCCCTTACTATCAATATTTTCGCATTTGGGCATTAGCGTATAGTTAACAAGCTATGATTCCGTGTTTCTGACGGTGGTTTCGTCTCGATCGGAACAGCGGTTTTGAAGATATCGCCAAGTGTTTTTTTCGCGCTAAATCGCTACGCTACGCCATCTGTGAGACGAAACCCGACATATTTTGTATCGTTGGACTCGGCAATGATTCAGGACCTCAAAAATATGACTCCCGTGAAAATAAGTGTACCACACCCAAAGTTATAAGCGTTTGAAAAAAAAAATTCACCACTAGGTGGCGCTGTTTCGAAACTTCTCAGGCTCCTTCAGGGCATCGTACTGATGACCCATACCGAGTTTCGTAACAATTCGTTCATGCGTTCAAAAAATACAGCATTTTAGCACATAATTCAAAATGGCCGACAGCCAAAATGGCCGATCTGGGAAAATTGGATATCAGTGGACTCGGCATGACGCCCTGAATCTAACGAGACCAAGTTTTTGATTTTTGGAGAAACCGTTCAGAAGTTATGAGCAAAAATAGCCATTTTTCATATCTCCGGACCACTAGGTGGCGCTGCGCCGAAACGCTGCATGTAGCCTCAGGTCATGCTTGTGATTACATGTACCAAGTTTGGTCTGAATAGGATGAAGCGTTGCGGAGATAAAGCCTTACGTCTGTTTTCGCAAGCGTTACGTAAAATTAGTTTGTGCGTTTATCGAAAACGGTTGTTCGAATTATCTTGAATTCCATAACTTTTTGTCAGCACTGCCTGGAGATGATCCGGTGCGATTTTGGTGAAAATCGGACAAACGGTCTAGGACGAGTTCGCAAAAGTACGTTTTTTGGAAAATTCAAAATGGCGGCCATGTTTTTATGACGGAAAATGACGTCATAGGTTGCGATCGAATCGGCATGAGCTCAGGAATAAGAGGAAAAAAGAATTTTGTTGATAGGCCTTACGGTTCAAAAGTTATTAGCATAATAAAAGTGCAACTTTGGACAGTTGGTGGCGCTAGAGGGAATGAGTTAGAGACACCAAAATTGGTGTATTTAAAGTTGGGACTGTCCTCTATCAGAATGTCAAACCAAAACAACTTTCCCGCAAACCGGTCTATGGGCTGCCATAGACGCCCAGTCGGAAGAAGAATAATAATAATAAATATAGCTGCAAGCAGCCATTACCGGGGCCAAGCGCAAAAAGCGGCAACATATGCCAAAATGGCAAGGAGTGGCAGACCAACTGCAGCAAGGAGCAATTAAGGGCATTTTGAGAGAACTTTGGGCAAATGGCTAAGAAAATCACATAAACATTAACTCATAAGATGATTTAATGGGTTATCACTTTCGAACAATAGGTGGCGCAGTTACGAAATAGATGTGATGTGGTCAGAGTGAGGTGACAATGACACATGCAAAGTTTGGTGTCAAAATGTGAAGGCATTGCAGAGATAAAGCCTAAATAGTAATTTTGGCAGCATGCCTAAAATTTGATGCTGTGGTATACGAAAACGGTTTTGTCTATCATCATGCAATTCATAACTTTTAGTCGGCACGGTCTGGAGATGATACGATTCAATTTTCGTGAAAATCGGACAAACGGTCTAGGAGGAGTTCGAAAAAGAAGGTTTTTAAAAAAATAAAGATGGCGAACAGGACGTTTGTCTGATTATGGAAAACCTGATATCTATGTTTTCAGCATAACCCAAGGAATCTATTAAGATCAGTTTCATTGCAATAGGCAAATTTATTCAAAGTTATTAGCGTTTTCAGAAATTAATTATAACTTTTGACCAACAGGTGGCGCTGTCTCAAAATCTTTTGAGTACCTTCAGGGCATGCTGCTTATGGCACACACTGCGTTTTGTAATATTACACCAATGCATTTGTTTAGTATAGCATTTTATTTCACAAAACTCTATTGAAGTCAATGGGAATTTCACGTTTTGTTCTATTATAGCGCCACCAAGAGGCTCAGTCCCACAATTTTTTTTATGTGTCCTCAGAGTGACCCCATACATATGTGTGTCAATTTTGGTGCAAATATCTCAATTCACTTCCGAGTTATAAACATTTATATGAAAAAACACGTAAAAAATGACTGACACATGACTTTGTTTGAATTTTACTACCCCTTACTATCAATATTTTCGCATTTGGGCATTTGCATATAGTTAACAAGCTATGATTCCGTGTTTCTGGCGGTGGTTTCGTCTCGATCGGAACAGCGGTTTTGAAGATATCGCCAAGTGTTTTTTTCGCGCTAAATCGCTACGCTACACCAACCGTAAGACGAAACCCAGCATGTTTAGTATCGTTGGACTCGGCAACGATTCAGGAACTCAAAAAGATGACTCCCGTGAAAATAAGTGTACCACACCCAAAGTTATAAGCGTTTGAAAAAAACAATTCACCACTAGGTGGCGCTGTTTCGAAACTTCTCAGGCTTCTTCAGGGCATCGTACTGATGACCCATACCGAGTTTCGTAACAATTCGTTCATGCGTTCAAAAAAATACAGCATTTTAGCACATAATTCAAAATGGCCGACAGCCAAAATGGCCGATCTGGGAAAATTGGATATCAGTCGACTCGGCATGATGCCCTGAATCTAACGAGATGAAGTTTATGATTTTTGGACAAACCGTTCAGAAGTTACGAGCAAAAATAGCCATTTTTCATATCTCCGGACCACTAGGTGGCGCTGCGCCGAAACGCAGCACGTAGCCTCAGGTCATGCTTGTGATGACACGTACAAAGTTTGGTCTGAAAACGAGTAAGCGTTGCGGAGATACAGCCTCGCGTCTGTTTTCGCAAGCGCTACGTAAAATTAGTTTGCGCGCTTATCGAAAACGGTTATTCG